GTAGCTCCTATTATTCACAACTTCGGTACATTCTTGATATGCAAATTTTCGTTCTCTGAATAAATAATTCATTCGATACAATATCGCCACCATTTGAAACAAAACCAATTATTCAATTGTTAAGTTCTGTCCGTAAATTTCGTTCGTTATACAAGAATTAATCACCTTATAGTAAATTTATTAAAGATTTGAACAAAACAAAGAAATTACTATTACAATACAAGCCGAACAAAAATGCTTAAATGTATAAATATAAGGTAAAACTGTAACCTCTATTTATAGGCGCCTCTTAATAAATCGATCCTTTTAACCTATCCAATGAACCAATGACCCAGTAAAAAAGTAAAAAGGCGGCAAAGTTCCCGCGATCCAAGATGGCGGACCAGTTGACACATTGGCGCGCGTTCGAAAACGACATTGACAGAGCGCGTGGCTACGCGACACTCATTTAAAACGTTCGGAAATATTTTGGGTATTTTTTAACAGATGTTTTTTGTTTTTGTTTTAAAAGGAACTAAATATTTATACAAATAAATAATAATTCATACTTAAATTTAAATAAATAATATTTCATTACTATTATTAATATTGTGTCTGTAGCATTTACATGGATTATCCGCGAAAAATATGACGAGTAGCTTAAAAATCGCTTAGTGGAGCTTTGTACCGTTCAATGAGAAATTCCGACAATTCCGTTGAGCGGAACATTTCTGAGAGACGTAAAAATACGAAGAGAAAACGAAATAACTGTGGTAAGAGGGACAAGTTAAAGTGCACCTTTCATACAATTTTTGAGAATAAAAAATATTAAGATAATTAAACGGTGACAGAAAGAGTTATTACAGCTAATAATAAGTAATTAAAAAAACGGAACACATCACTTGCGAATGTCATGTAACAATTAATATGCCACAATCACAAATATTAAATAAAAATATGTTAAACTGCAGACACTAGTAATTATCTACAATATTTTTAAAAAAATACGTCGTGTATAGAATGACGGTAGAATCCTGTCACAGTCCACAGACTATACTTTTTCCTTAGTAGTTCTACCATTATATAATTAATATTACAATTTTCTATAGATACATCCTCTACTACTGTTTAAAGAAAATTAATGTAAATATTGTATTCTTCAATGATATGTATATAATATCGCCTTTGGCCTACGAAAGTATTACACATTGAATTAAAAATGCTTTACCTTTAAAGCAGTTTAATATATATACATATACATGAACTAATTACATTATACATATACTATGTTATTATTACATAACTCAACGTCTCAAGTGCATTGCAGCAGTTGTGGTCAGACAGTTTGCGTATTGTATTAAATTCTTCATATCAAATTATTTATAGCTATTAATAATAACCTGTCCTAGTCCTGCGCTAATCAAAAACAGGGAGTATTTGATTAGCGCAGGACTAACTACGGTTTCAACCGCGTTATTTTGGTTTTATCTAACACATTTTTTAATACGAACCAATAGTTCCTGATATGGGAACTATGCAATGGTACCAATTGACAAGGTCAATAAAACGCCGTAAGTGGAAATGGATGACCATACGCTCCGGAGAGATCAATGTCACATTGACAATCAAGCCCTCAACTATCATTCTCAAGTCAAAAGGAAAGGTAGCCGCCCAAAACAGACCTGGTATCGAAGCATCATTGCAGAGGCAGAGGAATGACGTGGAGTCAAATTAAGGTAATTAGAAAGAGCTGCCCAGGATCGATCAGGCTGGTTTGCTACGCTGGGTGCCCTCTGCCCCACTAAGAAATAGTTCCGGAGCTTATCTCCACCACCACCAAGCATACAAACCCATCTGCTACAACCATACAACCGCTTCAGCTTGTAGCAAAGTACGGGCCCTAACACCGGATAAATTATCCGCTTTCTTGCTTTTGAATTATTGAAATAATCCGTTTGTATGGAGCGAAGGTAATGACCTTTCATAAATACCCAGCGCAATAAATTAGAAATGCAGGTAAAAATGCCAGCAACTCTCCATTTCCTAATTTAATGAGGGAATTTTTTCAAAGATATCCCGCGAATTTTACTTTTGTCTTCCGAGTTTGTGAGATGAATTTCTGTATCTCATTATGAGTTTATTATAATTCCATTCTATTTATACATTTGTGAAATAGCCTGTATTATAACTGGACTAAAGTCAGTACCGTGTTTGTACCATTTTTACCATTGATTAGCATTTTCATTGAGAAAAAAATCACACCATTACCTCAGTTAACATTTTATAATAAAGTCGATAATGTTTTTATAAAATACAACTTGTTTTCAGTATTTATTATATAGCATACAATAAATTTGTAATGACATTTTAAGATCACATTTAAAGGTTTAACCTCGTACTCCTACGAAATAATGCAACATTAATAGGTTCATGTTTAGTTTAAAGTGTAAAATTATGCAATTAGATATATTCTTTTAAAATAAATATATCACATACAAACTCAAGTTCAGTACTGTTTTAACTTATTATTTTGAACTCAGGATAGAACAACAAACTGTATACCATCAAAACCAGAGACACTTGTACTCCCCCTATTTGTCGGCAAACAAGACGTCTCAACAAGTATATAAAATATAAGGCACATTAAGCATGTCGTGGACAAATGCAGGACTCGAATGGCACTAGAGGAATTGTCTGTAAATCGTAAATCATGTGGGCCCAATACACAGAACAAATGGATGATTGCTCCGGGAAATTGTGTGATTCTATACGATTGATAGTTTATGATTCGTGTATAGTTTTTATTTTGATGATGTAATATGTGTATGATGTGATACGTGACACATGCTTTTATTGACATTAATGTCACAATTATATATTATAATAGAAAATATATTATGCACATGTAACGTTTTGTATTTAAGTTTTATGACAAACATTCTGATTAATTTTATTTTCTTCACAATCAACGTGCAATTTCTTAGAATATTTGATTATTTATCTATTGGTAAGAACAAAGAATTTATAATATTTCTGTTCATGTCAATTTCAATTTTAGAAGTAAAAAATAAGTATGTTTTCAGATAAGTAAATTATTATTGAAATGGAAGTAAAATACTTGTACAGTTTTTAATTAATTTTCATTAACTTATTAATAAATTAAATAGCCATTGAGGATATCATTTAATAAAACTTTGAACTGGTTTGATCCAGAGTCAGAAATACTTATGCACTCTATTTATTTATTTACAAAAAAACTAAACTAAAGATATAGCTAAAGTTTGAATACATAATATATACAAAAAGGTTCGAACATTTACAAAAGGATAACATCAATAAAAATTATTAAATACATTTAACTAGGTAATGCCTAATTTAGCTGTGTCGTAGTATTATTAGTTTCAAGTGATGATAAACATGACTCCTTTGCTAATTCACGTCTTACTATCACGTATTCCAATGCTAATTTCAAGACATTTCATTTCTCTCTATAACGAAGACTCAATTAATGAATACAGGTCCACAATTTGTGCCAAAAGATGACCTACTTAAAACAAAGAGCATTCTTAGCTATAAACAAATCTCTGTATTGCACCTACACACCGTAGTGTATATAAACAGAAACCGCATCATCTATCCACCGCCACATTCGTAGACCCATAGAGCCTCTAAATGAATTAGGATCGTGTAATTCGACCGAAACACGGCGGGTTATAAATGAGTCCGCAATCTAGCGGTGTCTAGGATTGCGACTCAGCACCGGCACAAAACCTATTACTTTGATGTTGAATAGTGATGGTACATTTTCGATAAATTTTATACAGGTTTTGAGTATTAAAATCTTACTTCATTCGGGTATTTAATATTGAAATGTACCGCTGCAGAAGGTATTAGTGCTGTGTAGGTGCAATAATACATGACTTTAATACCCCAACATCATACAAGCAGATCATCTAAACGACAAGTTTTTGTTTTAATACAGTATGCTCAATATAATACAGTGGAACCTTGATATAAGGATTTTAAGATACTATCAGCCGAGCGAGTGATAAATTGCTTTGTGATCATAGCAAGACTTATGATAGTATAGATAGAGAGATAGACAAGTCACAAGATAGAGGAATCGTACTCGACACACTTTACTAGCAGTTTCTGTATGCTTGTTTTCCTCGCATTCGAACATTTTTGATAAGTTGAGTTCGCGTTTTTTGCCTTTTGTACAATTACAAAACATTATCACATATATTTTTATAAACTTGGGTCCAAAGAAGATGATGTCTATTGAATTAAAGCGTGAATTTTCTTATTTAAAAACATCTTTGAGATACGAGCTAGGAACGAATTAAACTCACGAAAAAAAAAGGTTTACGGACACGTATTTGTAAGGAATATTAAGACGTTTATAATGTGAAAAATCTAAAAAGTTTTGTTCACCACAATTTAAGGTTTTAAAATTAAAAAAAAAACATCTCAATAAATTATAAATCTATAGTATTGACATCACTAGTAAGGTGAAAAGCCCTTAGCCCAGTTGCACTGCACTATGGCTCTCGTCACGCCCTCAACTTCTAATACTTTGCCAAGTTGGTTACGAAGGCCACTCTATCCTGGACACCATACACCATCCTTCAAAACCAGGATATAGAGATCCGGGCCAGTTCTACTTTTCTCACCTTCACAATGTTCTCGTTATGGACAATAAGTCTGGTAAAACCGAGGTAATAATATTACAATAATTTACCACATACATATAAATATGGTTATTTCTGACACCCCAATGGGAATTAAAGCGCACACACGTCTACAGCTCATTTAACTGTGTAATTTATTGCAGTACAACAAGAATTCGGCATTTCTTACTTAGGGTGAATGATAGCAAAATATGCCTGTATGTTTAAATTACATCTTATCAGCTTCTTAATTATAAAAAAATCGTTGTTAATAGATGGTTTCCGGTCAATAAGAAAAAAAATATATATTTTTTTGTTAAAAAATAAAACTATTAAATCGGACATGCTAACCTAACATTTCAATTTAAAGTTGCAATAAAAATACATAATAATCATATAACTCACCCTCTTATTGTCCCGAAACTTCAACCATCCGCTGATAACACTTTTATCCACTTCACAAAACTCTTCTTCTAACTCCCTCCTTTGAGGGAGAGGTGATCCTCCAGGGCTGTCCACTTCCCTTCGCCTCATGACAGGAGTACATTGTTGGGACAGCCTTCCCTCATTTACGGCATCACTTCGCCGCCCCAATATAGGTGTGTTGTGCCCCGAAATCCCTCCTAATATCCCGCGTCGATGGAGAAAGGGGCTTTCCCATTTCTTCTTGCATTCTGAATGAAGACAAAGGGCATCAAAATTTGCAAGTTCAACAGACACCCGTGTCTGTAATCCACTGGGATGGGTGGTGAGGATTGTCTGTTTAGCGATGCTGCAATGGTGATGCTCCTGCCTCTCCATCTTGGCATCAGTATATGTCCGTCTGAAAAATACAATTATTAACCTTTAATTCCATCATATAAGGATTTTTTATTCAGCTGTATGTGATTATCTGGTTCTACTCAATATACGTGAATACCGGTGAACGGTATACCTATGTATAATATTTAAAAAAAAAATTTTTTCATGTTATTATTAAATGCCACAAAACAACGCAGATTTATGAATTAAATGTTTTAATAATTTTGCTAATTATAATTTTACTATCAGTTATAAGTATTACTATAATAATTATTATTTAATAATATCATTATTTTTCACAAAATAGGTTTCCTATTTACGTAAAGTTCAATACTACGAAGCGAAATTAATTACGATATACAAATAAAACGCCTACACACACTCTACAGTGGAATTATGCGTTTTGTAATCATTTTTGCATTTCATAAATACACTTCTGGACACATCTATTGGCCCACCTTGCATTTTCAGTTTCTTATGGTCCTACCGAAAAATGTATATTAGGTCGAGTAAAAAGTTTTTATGCAGTTTTGAACCTGGTACATTCATAATTGCATTCAATATATTTTTTTTTAATTTCGAACACAGAATTTAAAGAAACAAAACACAATTTGGAGCCTGCTCATTGATATCAAACAATCGAATACTAAGAAAACTTGATTTTATTGGTTTAGTTGGATTTAATTCTTGAAAGTGTGATTTTTCTCTTTGGTTTTGCAACAAACATTACTTATTCTTAACATTAAGATGAGGTTCTATCAATAATCTATGGATACTTCGCCTGTAGTCGCCGCCCAAGCTGTGGCACTTATCCGGGCCGGACACAGCCAAAGAAATGTGAGTGATCAACTTAATTTAAGTCGATCTGCGGTCCGAAACGTTTATCGGAGATACCTAGAGACTGGCGGTTTTGTTCGTCGCCAAGGAAGGCCACGATTTCGGGTCACAACTGAAAGGCAGGATCGATTCATCGTGACGACCAGCTTGAGAAATCGTCACCTTACCTCCATTGAGATACAAAACCAACTTCGCGACTTCCATGGAGTAAATGTGAGCCCTCGAACTGTTCGAAGAAGATTAAAAGAACGCGATATGGTACCACACAAGCCAGCTAATGGCCCAAAACTAACGCGAGCCCACCGAATAGCGCGCCTTCATTTCGCGCGCTCACACTTAAATTGGACTCAGCAGCATTGGAACGGTGTACTCTTTTCTGATGAGTCTAAAATTGCGTTACATGGCAATGATGGAAGGAAGAAGGTCTACCGACGTAAGGGAGAGCGTTTTGCACAATGCTGCTTTGAAGAGAGGGTTGCTTATGGCGGTGGCTCATGGACTGTCTGGGGCGGTACATCCGCGAGCGGCAAAAACTCAACTTGAGGTTGTTACGGGACCACGGCTGCCAACATTAAATGCTGAAAGGTACATTCTTGAGTGCTTAGAACCTCACGTGATGCCATACGCGGACTATGTGGGCCCAAATTTCCTTTTTATGCATGATAATGCAAGAGCCCATACGGCCGGCATCGTCAGAGAATATCTTCGGGATGTGAACATCGCAGTTATGCACTGACCAGCCAGAAGCCCAGATATGAACCCCATTGAGCACATGTGGGATAAGCTAAAAAGACGTGTTAGGGCTCGTCAGCCAGTTGCCCAGACGATGTAGGAATTGAAAACTGCCATAGAAGAGGAATGGGAGATGATCCCTCAAAATTTCATAGAGCGGTTGATAAACTCTATGCCTAATCGTATGAGAGCTGTCGTAGATGCCCATGGAGGCAACACGCGTCATTAAATTAAACCTTTATTTGATAAAACACGTTTTTTATTCAAAAATCAATGACTTCATCAAGGCGCATACCCGACTTGTTAGGCGTATCTCCATGTGGTGTGGTATTCTAAATTCAAATTTAAAACAATACGATCGAAAAAGATGGTAAAATGTATCAGGTTCAAAACTGCATAAAACTTTTTACTCGACCTAATATAAATTTTTAGGTAGGACCAAAAGAAACTGAAAATGCAAGGTGGGCCAATAGATGTGTCCAGAAGTATATTAAATAATATTACAAAATTTTAACTCCTTTCGACCGTTTTAAACGTTCTTAAAATGTCATTAAACTACTGTCAAGTAATAAAATGACCAATAAACGACGCAATCAACTTTCCCTATGCCTTTCCATTATAAGTCAATTTGATTTCAAATCACGGAATAGGGCTAAATAATTTAATTAAGATGAACAGACGCTTTTTGACATCAATTAGAAACTCGAATGGTCGGTAGTCTATAGTCTTTACGCCTTCTAAACCTACTTAACCTTTGTAAATGATTCATAAGTTATTTAAATAATATTTGTTTTTTCAAAGAGACAATGGACAGATAATTAAAAAATATATAATATTTTGTGCTTAGAGACCTCTTTTGAGTCAATAATAAATTATTTAAACATAAGAAAATCTAATATATACAATTATTTTGTCACAATGTTCGTTCCCATACTCCTCCGAAACAGCTCAACCAATTCTTATGAATATTTTTATGTATATTCAGTAAGTCTTAGAATCGACTACTATCTATCTTCCGAACCCTTAAGTGATAAGGGGTCCACCTTAATTTTTTTTATTTGATAAATTTTATTATTTTTTTATGATACAACATATAAAAATACATACAACCTAGGGGTTGGATTTTCACCCCTCTACGATCAACCCTTATTTTTATTTGTAAATTTAAAACTAACAGAGAGAAAAATTCACAGAAAAACCTAAAAGTTTTCATCCCAGAAAGTAAAATCACATTAAGAAGAAACAAAGTTCGCGGGGGCAGCTAGTAATATTATATTTTTTAAACATTTCATTATAAAATTCACGTTCAGTTACATAACATTTAGTAAACTTTAACATGAGTGAAGAAATTCATAATTATTCAATAAATTACAAATTTCCGAATAAAATTCGTTCTCAATAACAATATTAATATTCCGTTTAAGTAATAAATTTTGCCATAAAAATACTTTCTAAAACAGATTAAGTCGTGGCATTAATTTTTTAAAAGCCCTTAAAAGCATTAAAAAGACTATTTAGAACTTCGTGCCAGTTTATTCACGGACATAGATTGTCGGTCATTCGTTAGGGAGAGGCTTAATCTTGGGAATGGTCTACGGAATGTAATTTTAGAATACTCAGAATTATGTTCTAATGAACTTTGGACTTAAAGGCATTTAAGATTTGCGACTTGAGAAATCTCTTGATTAATAATTAATAAACAAAAGGGAAAACATTTTGGGGTCTAATTCTTAATTGAAATAAAACTTGCAAGAAGGTTTAATCTTTATGTTATTTTGAGATTTAAATATCAATTTTAAAAGGTTATATTTATTGCAATTCCATCTTAATATTTACACAGTCTGTAGTGAGGTTCGCTGTAACATTGTACGCAGACGTCAACATTCAAACTGACATGAGGTGTATAATAATGATATCTCTAGGGCTTAAATTACGACAAATATTAATGGCCAATGATTGTTCTTTGTTCCATCAAACTTCAGCCGTCTTTCATAGATTATAGAACTTAACAGAACTCCACATTAAACAAATACGAGTGACAGAAGGCAGTAATTATGTAAATTGTCAGGGTAATGACAGTTCGTAATAGTTACTGTCGTATTCTTGTTTAATGCGGGTAAAGAAAGGGTAAAGTGCATTTACAATGAACTAAAATGACGCTTAGAAAATTAAACTCAGTTTCAGCTAACAGAAAATAACCAATTAATGAGAAATCGAATACGCAAGACATTCGTAACTAATATACCATTTTGATTTTACATGCTTTGTCCAATCAACGCTTATACTGAAGATAATTTATAATTTAAAACAACTGTTAATGTCCTAATCCTTTTATCGTTCTTCTTTATTATAATATATAGTTACGGGTATGTTTGTCATTGTCCGGATTTATAAATAATGTGCTGTCATGTTTTGTTTTGTTTTGCTCTGTATCATATTTTTTATTAGTGAAACTTTTTGTGGATACATCCAATGTGTTTATTTTATGTTTCATTTTTTTAACTTTTTTTTATTATATACAGATGTATCTGTTTCGTTTCCCAAATAAATAAATAAATAGATATACATAGTGAGATAACTGGCATGTCTTAGACCCAAAAACCACGAGTATCAGGCGCAGAAGACTGATAATTTATGAATAAGAAAAATGGTTGAAGTAATGGGTTCACATTGAGGTATTTATTATATAAATAAATGGATGTAGCGCCACTGGAATATTATTTGTGATTTAGCCCTCATCCGCTGGTCTACCACATAAAATCCACCACCACCACCAGGGGGCGCTTTAAGCAAAACATATTGAAGTAAGTCCTATTTATGAAGGCATGCAAAAATCAGATGGAATTTCTGGAAGTAACCAGACTCACGCAAAATGCTGGCTGGCTGACTTTTATTGTTTATAATAGCGTAAAAAAAATTGTCTCATAGGATTGGCCAGTCTAGACTAAGACCGTAATAGGTGCTCAGACAAACTGACAAACAGGCAATCTGCCCACATTATAGTATACATTATTCATGGGGCCTTCTGATAGGCTTCAGGCGATTGCGCTAAATTGCCGTCTCATACGCAGAATATATTACAGCCATTTTGACGGAATAGTTTCGTACTGAGCTCTGCTGAATCAAGTTATTAAAACGCAAACCTACATTAATAATTATGACATATGAACCTTGACTAAGTTGAAACTTTATTCAGGTTTTATTCACTTTTCAGTTGCCTTTTTCATTTCATTTCAGTATGGAATTAACAAAAACACTTTGGTGCCTGAAGAAAAATGTAATGTAAAACTATCTCCTTTTAGTTTTAGGCAAAGATTTCTCCCCTGCGAAATAAACAGGCTCTTATTTTAGTTTTGATATGAATTAATTCAAAATAATTTGAATTATGATGAATACTATTAGTAGTAAACAATTGAATACGTCTCATTAGA